ACAACAGCACTAAAAACTTAGGGAAAAAATTGATTATATGGGGGCCATTACATTAGGTATGGAAGGGGTTGACTGGTCATTTTTTAACATAATGGTTAGACATGTCGACTGATGGAAGATTTTAAAGTCTCACAAAATATGTCAACAATCTCACACCTGCAATATGTGTTACTTTCTGATGCTCATGCTGATGCTGCTCATGTCCGGGGATTCTTTAGCGAATGCTTTGAAGTGGTCTTGTGTCTCTAGGTCAATATGAACAAAATGAGATTGATGAGAGCGGTGTGTTTTGATTGTAGGACCGAGGAACACGCTAAATTGATCATGAAACCCTGCTATAGTTTTATCTAAATTATGGAATATCTCCCTGGCGTATAGTCGTTTGAGCAATGTAGTATTTTTTCAATGTTGTGTTTTGATGGAGGTGCTAGATAAAGTCTCTATATCTCGTTGAATGTAGAAGATGAAATGATATGGGAGCTTGAGAGTGATGGGTTGTTCTATGTTAAATCATGTTACAATTTGTTCTTTCATGATCGTTGGAGATGGGCTTGCCCTCAGATTGCTCAGATATGAAAATGGCCCATCCCACATAAAATTCAGGTATTTATTTGGTTGGTGGCTATTAATATGGTTTTGACTATTGACAATCTGATCAAAAGAGGGAAAATGTTACCAAATATCTGTCTCCTTTGCAAAGCTGATGGAGAGTCTGGTGCGCACCTCTTCATCTATTGCTTATTCACGGTAAGAATTTGGTTTTGGCTCTTTAGGATTGTCGGGATCAATTTGGTTCTTCCTTCTTCGGTTGTAGGGATTGTATCACAATTTTCTATTTCTCATTTGCCAAAGATTGGAAAAATTATTTGGAAAATAGCAAAAGGTGTCATTCTTTGGGAAATGTGGAAGGAGAGAAATAGAATGACCTTTGAGGGGAATTCTTTGCCTTTTGAGATATTATTAAATAACATCAAACTTTCGATTTGGTCTTCGTTGTCTATGCTAAAAGAGGGGTGGGGTATCTCCAAGGTTGATGTTATGGCTAATCTAAATAGCCTTTTCCTTCTTGGGAGTGTCAGAAATGGACCACGATGTATTTGGATTACGCCTATTTGTGGAAGCTTGAAGCCAAACTTTGATGGTAGCCCTTGAAAGAAAGACCTATGTGATCTTTTGCCGAGGAAATATAAATTTTTTTTTTTTGAATAATAATCACCCCTTATAATTTTGACAACAAGATCACTCACAGATGGTCTTATTACAAACAATAGAAATTCCAAAAAAATGAATCTCAACTATTTGATGTCATTCATACAACCTAATATTGTGCTTGAGAATATAAAATAAAAAAACTTAACAAATTAAAAAAAAAATGCCGGAGATTACCTCAACCGGGCATTTTACACCCCACACCAAGTCACCACATCCAATGGCACGAGATATGTAGTCTAGCTTCAATCTCGAATCGGGATAGTTAATTTCGGCCAAACTAAATAATCACCATTTAAAAACTCTACTAAAACTTTAACCCCGAAACTTAAAATTAACTTAGATCTAAAGAGGAAAGAGAGTACTACCTAAAATTTGAAGAGAGCAAATTAAAGTAAGAAAGATGGAGGAGAGAGAGTGAGGAGTGCCCCTATAGGAGAGAGAGTGTGAGAGAGAGATTATGGGAGAGAGAGAAGTTGTGTTGAGATTGGGGGGAGAGCATCCCTATTTATAATGAATATTTAAGTTTAAAGTTTCTTAGTATTTTCCCATAGTTTTCCTCTTTCATGAGATTGAATCTAGACTATTGATCAATGTGACTTGTGCGGTGAGAGATCTAAGCCATCCATTCTATAGATGGGCCATCAACGTTATGGAAAGTGCTTGGACCATTATCCCCCTTTCTTTAAACCATTTTCCTATCAATATATTTAAATAAAATAAATAACATGCATTCTATAAAATTGCACAATCCATGTCACATATTCTATAAGGATATGTCAAATTATATCAAGTACATAAATACTATCAAATATAAATAATATAAGATCCATATCAATTCAAATTTACTATATCTCTTTAAAACAAACTTGCTACAAAATAGATAAAGTCATGGTCAATATATCTCTTCCAAGATTTGACCACATGCCACAAATCAAACTAACATTATCTTAAAAGCAAACAAGAGAATCCAAAGAGTGCCACATGGTGGGCCCATGTGCACTATGGGCCCCCATGGAATTTTATAAAAAAAATTATTTTTAAAATTGAATAAAACAATTTAAAATATATATTTGAATTTTTATAACTTTGTAAGAACAATAACTGTATTTTTTATAAATCCAAAAATCACAAATAAAATATTGAGAGATTCATAAAAATTTAAATAATAAAACTAAAATCATTTCAATAATAAAATGAACACAATTAAATTAATATGATGGGAAAATGATCCATATGATTTTAGAAATCCAATCTGTAATAACGGGGTACTCCACCTTCAACTGTCGACTACATACCACACTAGCTTGATCGAACCGACCCAGTGTTTCCCATGACCCACAATCCAAGCAGGGGCTCATTAGCGGGTCACCAAAGTCATGTCGATGAATCAAGAGGTCGCAATTGCAGTCTGTAGATTACAGGTCCTTCCCTAGAGACGAGTCAAGGTCACCACGACCTTATGCGACCACAGCTCTACGGCACATAGGGGTTTCTCTCGCACATACAAACGCTTCACCCAAAGGTGGATATCTGGCTTTCCCAAACGATCTATCAATATGCATATCTTGTGATGGAATATGGATAAGGTTTTGGCCCCCGTCTCAGTAGGCCTACCATCACACAAATGTCACACAGTCTATCGACGCACTCATCTAGGCATAAACTCCAACCTCATCAAGGACTAACCCAAAACTTTCATCGGTTAATTATTTATGCGCCAGTACCTTGGGTTTTCCAACCGTCTGGCCTGGATCGATCAGCACAATCCGGTATAAGGAAATATCATTTGGTTAATATGGTCCTCGAGGGACCACACTCCCACTGAATTTATGTTTTACTATAAAAATATTTCAATACACAGTCATAAGACATTTAAAGGCCACATAAACCCAACATCTCTCTGGGAAATTCTAGTGTAGCTGGGATTGATGGTGTTTTGCGTAATTCCTCGGGTAATATCCTATTCTCCTATACTGATCCGATTGTGATTAAAACAACCAATTTTGCTAAATTAAGTGCTTTACTGAGTGGGGTGAAAATCTTGGTTGATAGAAATCTTAGTATAAATTGTTGGATTGAATGGGATTCTTTAAATGTTATTAGACAGTGTAACAAAGAACAGAAGGTCCCCTGGGAGCTTCGATCCTTGTGGTTGCAGGTTATGGATTTGGTAGAAGTTTTGTAAGTTTCTTTCACCTATATATAGAGTGAGGCAAACTCTTTGGCAGAGTCTTTGGCTAAAGGTGGTGCTTCTTTACATTCTCTTGTTCTCTTTAATAATATAATTTTCTTTTATTAGCCACTAATAAAAGTTACGAACATTTGTCAAAAAAAAAAAGTTTTATCTAAATTGATCGAGTGTGGGATTGGGAAAGGCGCTGGCTCGTGGTGGTAGCACCCCCATATCTAGTTATCACATTGTGATTTCTAATCCCTCTGACACCTTCAAAAAGTACTAGATAATTACAATTACCTAAGGCTCACATTCTTTGGTTGTTTAGGAATCAATCTTGAGATGAAACACTGCTAACCAATCAAGCCCAAGTTGAGGCGTGTATACTACTCTAGGGCCTTAGCATGATTCAAGGAAAGATCAATCTTTTCATAATCAAAGATGATTTGAAAAATGAATGCAACTCTGTCATGAAAGCAACAACAACCGTTTGAAGAAATATGGATAGTACAGGCTAACTGCAATACTTAGACACTGTTAAGGCATCATGCAAGGAGGCAGACTCACTTGCCAAAAGAAATCATCATGAATGTGTTTATAGAGTTTTTAAACATCATGTATGGTAGAAAACTCACTTGCCAAAGAATGGGCAAATAAATCATCATGAATGTGCTTATAGAGTTTTTAAATAGACTTGATTTTGTAAATTTTCATGTATTTAGTTTTGTATTGAGTGATTTACATACCGATCTTAAAATTTTAGGTAAAATACAAAATCCTCCATTTTTAAGTAGAAATTAGAAAGGTCGGTCAATCCACATCTTTTATATTTTTTTCAAAATTACCGCTTAATCAACCCAAATTTTGAAAAGTTTTTTAGTTTTTTTGGTTTTTTTTTTTTAGTTTTTTCATTAGTAAACCTCAAGCTTTAAGGCACTGCACTACTAAAAAAAACTAAATATATATATATATATATATATATATATATATATATAGTGATTTGTTTGATCTCAAATTTTGAGTGTATATTTTTTAACCCTATTGAACAATCTAAAAGAATATATTGAACAATCTAAAAGAATATTTGGAAAAGATCTAGAAGATGGATTTCCATAGGAGAGAGAAAATTTGACAAACGTTTGGCCATCTATTTTAGATTTAAGCCTTTAAGAAATGGAAATCCATTCTTTTTATTTTTAAATTGTCCACATGGTGATGATGAGAACATCTACAAAATTTGTGTTCAAGCAAATCTATGCAATGTCTTATTCTAAAACTATTTTTTTTCTTTCTTGAAAATGAACGGCATGTCTCACTGCATTTTCTTTCTCCCCAAAGAATACAATTTTTGAGTTTTTTTTCTTTCTTTTTTTTATTTTTTTATTAGGACGAATATTAATTATCTAAAAAAATTGGGGTCAAACAAATTCTCTAGATAAATAATTTTAGGAGTTCTTAATATGCGACGTATTGCTATAAAAAATAGCTAAAAAACACACACACCTACACACATGCTTGCCACGAGTTGAAATATACTGACACAAAGCCACATTGACCAATCCAACATTCCGCATATTGCAACACAAAATAGCCAAAAATCATAATCATCATATTCAAATACATATATAATCTCCATGGATGAGTTCAAAAAGTACATAACCATACCTGTATGAATACCTCAAAAGCCCTGCTCATAATTCCAAAATTATAAAGAACTAACAACTCCCCATTACTCTATAAACTACTAAGTTTGCCAAAGAAGCACACCATTTGGAAAGAGGAAAACTCGAAAACACAAAGATAGTCAATCACACATGGATGCGCACTGCATGGGAATGGAGTGGGGACATGGATAACTAAAGGGTATGGTGCCTCAACATAACGTTTTAAGTTTTATTCCTACCATTAACACTTCAAAAAAAAAAAAAAAGATAAGATATGCACTGCATCTTCCCCGGGGCACAGAGGGAGGGGAAATCAATGGTGACATGGGCGTTTTAAGGGTTTGATAGAGAACTTCATGAGGCCTTGGTTGCAGTGGAAGCCTTGCTTTTCACCACACACAAAGTAATGAGTGGTCCTCAGGCCTAGAGTAAAGTAGAAGCCCTTTCCTCCTCCTTGCATTACATTGCCCACCAACAATGCCCTCTTGAGGTCACAGGACTGGAAACTGTTCAAGTCCCTCAGCAAGTAAACACTGTGTGGGTGATTGGTGCCATTGGGGGGATCATATTTAAAAACTGCACAATCCAAACACAAATCAATAACAACTTGTGGCTGTACTTAAGCACAAAAAAGAACTTTAGGTATTCACATGCCTATCCAACTCAGAATCGTTTAACTCAGTTTGGAATAAGGTGGACAGTTCTGGTTTGAGAAACTCTTGGATAGCCCGATTCCTTGATTTTTTTTAACTTTTTTTCTATTATATCTATATGAATGTCTAACTCGAGCATGGCCGGAGTATGACTGATCAACTCAAAATCTGTCGCGTGGCAACTCTGGGTGGAACTTTTTGAAAGCCCTGTTGATATATATTCAATTTAATCCACTCATTAACCTCGTGGGAGTTTTTAAGAGTGGAATGGACTCTCCCACAAATTATGAAAGACAACTCTTCCATTATTTTTTGATGGAAGGGAGGTATTTTAAAAATGAACTCGTTTTAATACTAAAAAAGAGCTGTGTGGAAGGCTGCCCTTCCACTTTATAACTTCCCTATAGTAATATCAAACACGGAAGTGGGACATTTAACTTCCAAAAACTCCCACTTATCAAACATGGCCATAGAGAAATAGTGTACTCAGGTTTGTGTACAGTATACATGGACCTTTCTATAAAGCTTTTGCTATCCTAGCATTTTTTTTGGGTAATTCGCTACCCCACATTGCACTCTAAGGACCTGCATTACAAAGATCCACAAAAAAGGGGCCTGATTTCTTAAACCAAACATGAATCGGCTCCTAGACCCCGTTTGGTTATATTAGTAAAGCATTCAAAGCTCAAATCTTGTGCATTCAAATCTTACGCATTTTTTTTTGGATAATTTAGTGGGGAAGACAGACCTCTACTCATTTTTTCAATAGATTAAGAAATTACATTTTAAAAGTGTTAATTGGGTGTGTCAACGGCAAGAATGGATGCCACGATATGGTAACTAGGTGTGGGGATACTACCACCACGACCTCAACCCCTTTCTTTTCTTTTTTTTTTCACATCTATCTCTCATGAATAGTGGACGCCAAGTCAGTATGCCACCATTCAGGTTCAATACAACAGAGTTCTATTATATGGCCAAAAATGGGATGTTCAAACAGGGTTTTAGTGTTTAGACAATTTCCTCTAGATAAACTCTCATGAGAGAGGAACAAACTTTTGGCCTTTGTAGTTAGGGACGTGGATTCAGAATATAACGTCAAGAGTTTCATGTCTACCACATTAACATGTCAAAAAAAAAAAAAAAACAAACTCTCATGAGACACAGACAGAGAGAGAGAAAGAGCTTACCTAGAGTGTCACCCAAGTAGAAAGGACCAGACTTAAGAGCCCAGTCTGTATAATTGAAGCCAAAAGTCCACCCTTGGTCCCCTCCCACCACAGTGATGTTGGATGCATCTGCTCCATAGAACAGTGACCCTTCGGATGCACCTGCTCCATAGAGCAAGGAACCTAACAATACCCACAAAGCTACCGCTACAAAGCTCGGTTTAGATGCACCCATTTCTTCTCCCTCGAATCCAATATTCACAACACTAGGATATGCCTTTGAGAAGTAACCAAGAAGCTTATTTATAGTTGGGTCTTGAAATTTTAAATTAATTAAGAGAGTGATTATAATTTGATTACCAGGAATTAAGGAAAGTGTGCATTTACTAACGAAACAAGCTACTCATTTTAAGAGTTTGACGTTTAAGCAACGGCGATCTCTCCTTGGATTAATAAAATAAAAGAAGAGGCATGCTTAGGAATGCTCATTATTATTGTTAATCAAATTAGGGTTCCTTAACTTAGGGTTGGTAGTTGTGGAATTAAAAGCATAGTCAAAAAGGGGTTGAGGGAGTGGGTTGGTTTAACTCTAATGGAGTTGACGACATCGAACTCTCATTTCACACTGGGGTGCGATCTAGCAATCCCTACTTATACGGTAAGGAAAAAGAGATGGGGTTTTGGTGCGTGAGCGGACGTAGTTATTCAAGTGTGGCTTTTTTTTTAGAAGATGTAGTTTCTACAAGGCCAAGGCTTTATGAAAGCAAAGTAAAGCCTCGCCTTGAATCCTTGTTTGGAAAGTATTTTGGGCAGAAGAAATCTTTATGATGATTTTAAAATCAATTTTCAATATTGACTATAAAAAATTTGAAACTCAAAAAATGATACAGATCTTGTGGATTTGTAAACATTTATTTTAAAGGCAAAATAGATGGTTTAGATAATGTATTACAATATATATTATTTGTAAAGCTTGAAATCTTTATTTCTTTCACAACTATAATGGTCAAGGCCAAAACGATCGATTTCAAAGTTTTCTTATGCTAGAACTGCAATTTTTGGTGGGCTTTACTTATTTTAACAAGGTGGCAGCCCTATCAAAATAGTTTTCTTTCTGAAAAAATTATCTTAGAGATGGATTTTAGATCTACAATTTTGTAGGTCAATGATTTAGACTACCACTGCGATCGCGAGTTTGGAAAACTCAATGAATACTGTAGTTTCGGCATCAGAAAAACTTCAACTCAATCATCTCGGCTTTGACCATTATGGTTGTGAAAAAAAAAGGGTACCAAGTCCTCTTTTATAACACATTATCTAGACCGTCCATTCCACCCAAAAAATAAGTATTCATAGATTTAAAATATTTGTATAATTTTTTTAGCTTTAAATTTTATAATTGGGGTTGGAAATTGATTTTAGAGGCATCATGGTGATTTTCGATGCCCAAAGTACTTTTCGTTACAAAGCTTTACTTTGTTTTCATAAGACCAACGCCTTGTGGAAACCGCATCCTTCGAGGAAAAAAAAAAATTCAATCTTAAAAAGCTAATATTTTAAACTTTGTATATAGATTATTCATCACCGTACATTTGATTCCTGATAGATAATAAACTGCACCCCTTTTCTTCTTTTTTTCGAGCTGCAAAATAACACATTTATAGTGGAAACGTATGAGTGACTCACGATGACTTAAGACATCTTTTACACTAGAAATCCATGTCCATATCTTTTACATTCGAGATCTATCTCCAAAGCAGACCACCATTTTTATTATAGCCTCTTTCAAGCCACAAAGAACCAAATCATGAGTACAAGAAAAACTGCATTACAGAATGAAAAAGTAGTTTTAGAAATAGACAAAAAAGCCAACTTTCACCAAATTTGAGAGCACACATTGGACAACTTCTTCCTAAGCTCAACTTTGTCAAATTTCCTTTCATTCTGAAATTTGGCCCACTTTCTAGGTTCAGTCATGTCTGGTGAGAATCCATTTATGTTTGAATGTTTCATCCTCAATTGAAAAAAGACATTGGTTTTACAACTGACTTGACCCCCCACTTTGAAATCACCCACCCCACATTCAATTGATTTAATGGTTAGTGGAAAAAAATTGGACACATTGTATGACCTACACATAACCATATTTGTTCAGCCAAAAGATTTCATAGTCCCTAGGGAACATATTGTCCGTTTACTACCTCTAATAAAACGTTATCTAGAAGTAATTTTAGGACCCTTGGAGATGTAACATAGCTATGGACTATCAAAAAAGAAATTTGCAAGTCGTGCTCTATGAGCAGTTGTGTGTGTATGTAGATGGGTGACTATCCAATTTTTTTGGGGAGAGATCTGTGTTAGAATAAATATTTTCAAAGTAAACCCATAATGACTCTTGGTGGTTCCCAAATTTTAGATCGAAAAAATCATCATACCAGGCTTTCTTTGCCTGAGAGAGCAGGTGTAGATAATGCCAAAGTATATTATAGATGCTCATTTATTATGGGTGTGGTTTGTATAAGATTGAGGCCCTAAACAATCAAAATAAGGCACGTTTTCAAACTATAACGAAAGATGTCGTTTCAATATCGAACCTCTTTATGATGGCTTGAAACTTTATTTTCATCTTTAATTATAAAATTTTAAGCTTCAAAATAAAAGTACATTAAGCAGATCTATGAACACTTGAAAATCTTGAAAATTGACAGTCTAGATAATGCGTTGCAAGATGCACTATTTCCATGACTTGAATTCCAATTTTTTTTATGTCAATGTATGTCAATGTTAAGATGTTCGGAATTGAGGATTTTTCAGCATCGAAACGACTTCTTCTAGTGAATTTTTGAGGTGTGCCTAGTTTGATTGTTTAGAACCTCAAACGTTATATAAACTTTTCCCTTTATTTCTATATAACGTGGGGCGTAAATGCTTTCACGAGTACACAACCGTGGGCACACACAATTATGTGCATGCATATACATGGATACATGTATCTCTTCCATAGAGTAAATCAAAATAATCGAGTCAAAATGTTGGTGTCTCCCATCTTATATAAAAGTATTCTTATAACATTAATATTGTTCTAAATTAGGAAAAAACTTATCGTACTTCCCCACCCATATATTTTTCTACATCTCCCATCTTCCAACCGTCCGATCAGAATAGATGGCTAGGATGATTTCAGCCAACGATATGAATAGATGGCTAGGATGACTTCAACCATAATGTTATAAGTGACCGCTAACCATTTGATCTTAGATCAGACATCTCATAGTATTTTATTTTTTATTCTTTTTATAAATTATATTAATATGAAATTTGATATGTGACATCATCTCAACAACTATTCAAAAAAAAATGACATCATTGCAATAGGGTGCATCTAAAAAAAATATTTTGAAAATATAAAATGACTAAAATACCCCTAAAACTTTCAGGTGTATTTTGATTATTTTATTTTATAAAAAATATTTTTTTGATATTTTTTAACAGGCTCTCCCAAAATGTGGTGTTAAAATGTTTTGTAAAAAAATTAAAAATAAAATAGTGTATAGGCATGAGGGACTCCTATTATGTAGGTTTGTTTTCAAAATGAAGGATGCGATTGCTTGTTTTTTGCAACAGTTGTTATGATCACGTGTTGCATTCAGTTCATTATGATGCCGCATGCATCCCAAGAACATGAACAAGTTATATTGAAATTCTAGTCAAGTTAAGTGGCATATTGACATAATGGGGATACTTCCATTTTACAAAATAAATATCACCCGTTGAAGCCAGTTGCATAGACATCAGCCTTATGATGCAAGGTTTCACTTGCATTATTTTCGAGTTGGGTGAGGATATCATTTCCTCAGTTAACTGGACACGAATATCAATCTCAACGATATCATTAATCACATAAGTTGGGAAAGGGTAAACTATTAAATTCGTGAAAGATTAGGTGTATTTTGATAAATTTTGCTTTTCAAAATAAAGTGTATTTTGATAAATTTCTCTTTTCAAAATAAGAGAAATTCAGAGGATATATGCGTAAAATCTACACATTCAGGGATAGATAGAACCATGTAGGACCCAGAAGAAATTCTAAACATAACTGTTGTGCCTTCATGCCATTATAAAACAGAAGATTAACCTCACTTATTTCTAATGACAAGTATGCACTCGGTTTCAGTTAATCCAAACCTCATGCACAGGAAATGGATGGTGGACATCCCTGTGGAGTACCACTTACAGTACACTACTAATGTATGTAAAGCTTTCCAATGGCCTATGACATTGGGTATCTCAAGATGTATAAAAGTCGCTACAATCACATTTCCAGCTATTCGCTAGCACCTTCTAGCGGTCCAATGTCAACAACAGAGAGTTTGGGTGTATCTAGAAATCCCTCACACATTTGCATTTTTTGAGTGCAAGAATGACACCTCAACTGTTGATGTTGAGGTAAGATGGTTGGGGAGGTGCTAGCAGAATGTAAGAAACCCGAAGTGCTTAGCACAGAATACTTTTTCTTAATTTTAAGACAGCATGGCCTTTTCCAATTCAATATTCAATATGCATTTCGAATGGGCTTGACAAACCCTAAAATGCACAAATTTAAAATATCCAATAAAAACAAACCTCTCTAATGCAAATTAAATAGTTGGAACAAATTTTACAAATGTTTGACAGTAAGTAGTACAACCCATGCATACACCGCCTTCTTACTGGTATCCTGATAAATTTGCAGAGCATCCATTCACAAACCGATCAGCTTCATGGCCTTTCATGGAATTAAAATAAAACAAATGAAAAACTGTACAGAAATTAACCAAGAAGCTACAACTTCTTCTGCTGTTACTCTTTCTTAGGGAGTTTTCGACAAGCAATCAATGAGATCTGCAACGGGATCGCTGATCCTTTCCCTTTGGAAGTCGACGATTGATAGATGGCACACTTGAGCCAAATAAATGTCATTCCCAAATGATAGGTTATCTGGATATCGCACGCTTCCCAAATGCCAACCTCATTCTAAGAAGAACCCAACCATGAGTTAAATAATACAACAAGATCATTGGCAGTATCTTAGTTCCCCCGAGGAGTAAATGGAGACTCATGCTGGTCTAAGGCCTTTAACTGCAGCCGCAAATATCTGTACATTCATGGTTGAATATTAAATTGATATTCAAACAAGCACTGTGACAAATATCAAGTTTCAAACTTGTTTGATTTCAAAAACCAGAATCAAAACTTCAAACAGCCAATGGAAGATACAATTAATGGAAGTTCCTTCCCGTGAAAAGAACAATAGAAGAAAGACATGGCATCTTAAAACAAATATGGTGATAAATTGAAATGTGTCGTAAATCTGAATCATGATAGCCTTACTAGAAGGCAATCCAGTGCTGAACTTAGTTACTATTCACAAACCATAAGGACATTGTAGTTTGAGGTTCAAAAGACAAATACATAGCACGGAAATTGCTTTTGATGAATGCCACCACTTTTACAGGTCAAAGAAACCAAGAAGGTAATGGTTTTCACAATTGAAACCATACCCCTTTCCTGAAAGGCTAAGGGGTCTGTAAATTCGAGCTTGATAACTTTTAGAATTGAAAATTACAATTCCTCATGACCAAAGGGGAAGACAATTGTAATCCTTTTCAGCAGATTATAAAAGCAGTAGCGTGGAAGCAAGGAAAAACTTGAAAAGGCAGAAAAGTAAAACAAAAGCAAGAAAAGCATTACAAAAATTTGTGTGAGTAGATTTATGAATAACAAGGAGCTGTCAAATGATAAGATAACACAACCAACATATGCAACTTCTGATTGTGATCTCTAAAATAATCTCTCCGATTTTTACACTTGACTCTTCACAGAACCATTTCTGCTAAAGTTGGACTTATAACCAAACTAGTAATGGACAATGTGAAGTCGTGGGACTTGAGCTTGGATTTCAATCTAAGCACGTATCAACCTCGAGATCTGCTTCTTCGATCCTGAGCCGGGAAATCTCGTAGATAGTATAATGTGATCCATCTCCTGTCAGGGGAAAGGAGAGAGAAGATGGATCCTATCTGTTCATGGGATGTCGGTCAGTGGCTTCCCTATAATAGCACATCATTGCTATACAAAGATAGTCATTCTGAGGTTACATAGATGAGGCTTAAGAGCATCTCTAATCTATTTGGAAAACAAAAGGGCAGTATCTAGAGGTGCAAAAAATATCATTATATGCAGCCATTCAACTGCCTAGAGCTGCATCTCTTTGGAAGTCCACCTCAAACCATTTGCCAATATAAAAGGACAGAGATGCATCTCCTAAATTTTGTATTATTGAAGAAAGTAGATAGGTAACTCAAAACTTGGAATGAGACATGACAAGGGTTAAGAGTAGCAACTACTAGCAAAGTCTCAATAAGTAACTCGAAATTCCTGCAGAAAGCACCAAGACAGAAAGCATTTGACAATGATAAGCACCGAACTTGCTTGGTTGTGGGAAACGTGAGTGGCATTCTGCTCCCTAAGGTAGCACTCCCTTGGTATTTCCTAATGGAAAATTGTGCCATGTTCATAGGAGCAATCAATATTGAAGCTCCTAAAATAAATACTAAAATTCAGCCTAAGACACAATCGATGGAAGCCCCTTATTGGAACTCTTGAGAAAGGTAAATGGGTTAGAGGAAACACGAGGTTTCCATGAGCAAGGAAAAGACTTGAATCTCAGTCAGAACATTTCATAGCATCTAATGATCTATACATTCAATCTACCCCATTCACCCACCAAACCACATATGCACACAGTGACACAGATACGGATAAGATAGGGAAGGCCTACAACAAATAAGATACTTGATAAACTTTTATTTAAAAGAAGAAGAAGCAGAAAGTACTTAGGCTGTTCCATACTTTCAAGAGAGATAATCTGGCTTGTGTAATTCAACAGCAGTAGGAAGTAGGACGGGACAAGAGTGAACCCCAGTTCCAAGCAATTGTGAAAATATTTAAGCTAACTGAGAAGGCTAAACTGATAACATTTCCAGTTAATGATAAAGAAGATTGTAGAAAGAACAATTCTGACCTTATATGAAGAAGATTCAGGAAACTCATTTGGATTTCTATTGACACCTTGGTTGAATGCTCTTTCATCTGCAACTCGATATGAAGGGCATTTCCCATCTTCAGCCTTGTAGGACAAATCTCCCAACTGAGCTTTTCCACCTGCAGTACTTAAGCCAGATGATTCCCTGAGGACCCCTGGAACCTCCTTAGTCAACCTTACTTGTCTTGGATGTAACCTTGGGTACATTTCCGTAACTCTGATTTTGGCTCGACTTGATGTTTCTGGACTATAACTGGAAGCCCCTTTAATACATCCGGCTCGGTTTTGGTTGGTATTCCTGCTTTGCTCCTCTAAGAACTCTTCCTCCACATGTCTGTTCTTATCGACTTGGCTTGATTCATTAAAATTGTCCTCACTTATATTCTTATTTGGTTGGCTTGTTTCACAAATATTGTAACCACTTCCTCTTCTGATAAATCCAGTCTGGTTTTGATTCAAATTTCTGTTATGATCCACTGGGAACTCCTCTTCCCTAACTAAATTCTTATTGGCTTCACCTGATTCATTGAGGTTGCGATTGCTGCGTCTCCTAATGACTCCATTTTGGTTTTGGGGAACACTCCTGCTTGGTTCCTTCTTAAATTGAGTAGCAGCAGCCCTAGCACCAGCGATCGCGGCATCAAGACTTGGAGGTTTTTTCAATGCAGGTGTTTTAGATCCATTTAAATATGAAGCACGAGAGCCCGGTTTCAGTGAATAAGGATCTGAAGCATCTGGAAGTGGAAATTTTACTGGTAGGGGACCACTGACAGCACAAAGACCTCTTACTGCTGCGTCAAAGATCTACAATAATTTTCAAAGGATCAACTGAGAATTAGGTGATTTTGTGATAGAGACCCCCCATCACCCTAAGCTTTCAGTTATGTACTCCCTCTTTATGCCTTTCGCAATCTCAGTAGGAAACTAATAAACTATAGACTTGAAAGATGAGAAAAGAAATTGCAAGTAACTATCTTGGCAGGTTCATAAAATTGAAATATTACCTTCCTTTCTAAATTATAGACACCTTGATACCCTCTCATCTCAAATGGGATTAATAGTTTCTGCACAAATCAAGAACAATCATTCATAAGAAACTTAAGAAAGCAAATCGCTCTCAGGTGTATTATCTACCAAGCGACAACTAAAAATTCAAATATTAACATAAACAAGGATAACTGCATTACATATCACATTACAACGTTTCAATTCACAACAGACAACACTTCTTCAACAGGGAATATGTATTATAATCTAATCGTCAGCTGCCATCACCTATTAACCAATCTCTCCACATAACAACCCCATAAATGAATAGAGGACAGTGCAACCACTGAACATATCTGAGTGAGTTTGGATGCGAGGTTTTTTTTTTTTTTTGGAGGGTGGGTGAGTAGGTGGGTGGGTGAGTGGGTAGGTGTGTGAGGGGAGGGGGAGCGAGAGAGGGAGAGGGAGCATGTGAGAGAGAGAGAGAGAGAGAGAGAGAAGAGTGAGAAAACTAAGTTAGTATCATGCAGGAAAGGCAATTTTCTTCTGTAACTTGGATGGGAAGCAAAGGCACATTTTACATAAATAAAGGATCAATGGGAAACTCCAAGAGGATGATATCATCCTTGCAGTACTGTAATGACTGCAAAAAAAAAAAAACAAATGGCCCACATTTACTAAATCAGTTCATTACACATAGTAACTACTGACTACTGACACATAACAACCAACATTATGAACAAATGAAGATCTGACTGTCACTAATTTATATACTGAAGCATTTAAGAGAAATGTCTTATAGTTTTGACCAAGGATTTGCTCCATATCAGACATAAACAAGGATGTATAATTTTGACAATGTAGATACACCTAAACAATAAGAATAACTACAAGATAAATTCTAATCACATGAGCATTAAAGGAATACAGCAATTCTCAAATTTGTCTGCTATGAGAAAAAGATGAATGAGTCATAAAATCAATCGACTTTGTTCACTTAATTCCCAAATTGATTACGCAGGAAGCAAGGACCCATACATCAGCTAAAGAAAAATATTCCTAAGATCACAAATATCATGCTGCAACTCCACTCCAGTATAGCAAATAACAGTTGGGCATGCATTAACCACAAAAGGTCCATATTAAATAGCTGATTAATGAAAATAAAAGTTGAATGAAGTAAAAAATATTTCACAGAAGCAACTGTACGCATGCCCTCACTCAGTACTTACAAATAACTATGAATTCTTAAGGAAGCCATAGATGATATAACATATACCTGGGGATTCTCACAAAGCCAACAGAAGTCTGTTTGCCCTTCAAGACGTACCTACAAAACAGGACCAAAATGATTAAGCACATTCACAAAACACTCAAATAATGTTCAATGAGTACTGATGTTAGATAACTAAAGGGATGGAGAAATTTTACTCCTTACCCCTTCTGGTAGTTCCTCCCAGCTGACCAGTTCTTCACACTTGACACATCCAACTACATCAACACAGCCTATAATCCAAAAGAAAAAACCTTAAGACTTGAACCTAATCAAGCTAACTCATCAATAAGATCATAGAGAAATTCAGACCAACAATTAATCAAGAAAGATAAAGCAAGAATGACTAAATACTCAATAATCTCAAATTTAAGCAAACTCAAGCATAAAACCCATGAATTCTTAGGTTGTCAGTTACATTAATGAAATTGTGTAAACATAGTTAAAGAACTGACTATTTTACAAACTCTAAGCCATTTATTGCTGGTCTTAATCTTTTATTTTCTTTTTTGCATCTTCTCTCAAATTTGCCACATTCTCAAATCTGTAGTACTGGAACGCATTCACAATTACTTACTCAATAAATGATAAAAATAAAGAAGCCACAATTTATATGCAGAAAAAAAATCATTAAGTTAAGAATGGGTAGAAGTGTGTTTTTTTGCTTGCCCAGAAATATGACATTTCAAGCATTTGTTTGTACTTCCTTAAAGTTCTAGAACAACATCAATTTCGTAACATTTAGGGAAGGAATATTTGCAAGGTAAGATACTCTACCTGACAGCATCTTAATTCGATAAACTAATAAGATGAAAATAAAAAAAATGCTACCTATTAGCAGTTTTAAAATTTGTGTATAATGACATAGAATTTGAGTTCAAGTCTTCAATCCTAGTTCATTCCCGACAAAACATCTTAAACTATGAACAACAGAAGACATAAATACCTTATCTTACACCTACAACCTCCATACAGTATAATATCATATAATATCATGGCTTGTACCAAATTCTATGATCTGCCTTGCTGTCCTGAACCTATCAGAGTTCACCAAATATGTGAACACTTCCTGAATGAGAGAAAAATCCTAGCTTGAATTGGCTGTCCTTGTAATCATATACTCTTATACTCAAGTATAGGAAGTAGTTCTGACAGTATCTTAATTCGATAAACTAATATGATGAAAATAAAAAAAATGCTACCCATTGGCAGTTTTAAAATTTGTGTATAATGACATAGAATTTGAGTTCAAGTCTTCAATCCTGGTTCATTTCCTACAAAACATCTTAAACTATGAACAACAGAAGTCATGAATATCTTATCTTACTCCTACAACCTCCATAAAGCATATCATAGCTTGTATCAAATTCTATGATCTGCGTTGCTGCCCCTGAACCTGTCAGAGTTCACCAAATATGTGAACACTTCCTGAATGAGAGCAAAATCCCAGCTTTCAAGCTTGAATTGGCTGTCCTTGTAATCAAATACTCTTATACTCAAGTATAGAAAGTGGTTCTGACTCTGACACTCAATTCCATAGTCCACTTATAACAGGATCTGATGTGATTTCATACTTTAACATGGGTCACAACAGCAGGAAGTAACTTGTTATTTATCGTTTAAACTGTTCTTTACTTCTTTTATTTTCTTATGTAGTTTTATGGTGCATATTTTTACAGAATTCAATACCTCTATGTTTTTATGATTTTCCCTTTGTTTTATTATTTTTTTATACTTTAGATATTACCTATATACGAATACAAAGCCAATGGAAGAAAATCTAGTTATTGCGATCAGCTAGTATGACATCCCAAAGAAAATATTGGAATTTGGATGCGAGATATCTCAATACACTTAATATTCAAAATCAATATCAATGATTTTCTCTTTCTTTTTGGTGAGGTCAATTCAGTCCATAGGATGGAAAATTCCAGTTAAATAGTAGGAATTCTCCATTATAAGACTGCATTAAAGGAACTTCTTTCTAGTCGTCGTGGTGGTGGTGATGATGATGATGTTCATGAAGATGATAGAGGTGATCCCATAACTAAAAAGTAACACAGTTTACATACCTAGAAGATGAGAAACTGGATAGTGTTCTGGAAATTTCAGGCCTGCAATTCCATTCATTGCGTATATCTCCCTGTAGAAGTCCTCCATTGCTTGTATCGTTGCTGGGTCAGGAACTTTTGCAGCAGCATGAATCCAAAGGCGCCCTACAAAAAGGTAGAAAAATTAGGTGGATACAGTCATGCTTGAGAATGAATCAATTGGAGTGCATAGAACCATTCTTAAGAATAACTCAATTGTGCTCTGATGTTTACACATTCAAAACCAGGAGGCATCTAAAGGGGAGTTATGCAAGTTAATTAAAATTCCAGCTGGACATTTGAGCTGCAAAAAACAATACAATTTTTTTTTTTCAACTAACGAGTCAGAGTGTGAACCAAACAAATGAGTTTATAATGGCGAAAGTACATTGCAAGATTTTATTTGCTGATTGGCGATCATTGCAAGATATCTGTCACTAAGTGTTGCTTATTAAAAAGAAATCCACACAATATTGTGCAAAGAACCCAAACAAACAGAAAAAGAAAATACTTTTTCACCGGGTTGCCAAGACAACAACACACCAACAAAATTCTATCAAAATTTCTAAAGAAATACAATTTTTACAGGGTTAGTTTGTAAAGAAATACAAAAATTACCAAGAATATAGAAAGAAATACAAAACTTAACCAGAAATTTTATTGCAATTTACCAAGAGTACAGAAGAAAAGCATCATTAATAGTTACTCTAAAGAGAACCTTCAAAAGAAAACAAAGTTTACAGCAGTGCATAAAGAGAGCAGAAATAAAGTGTCAATACTTATGCAATAAAAACATCAAAAGAAGTACAATGCTTGCTACAATTTTTTTTTTTTTGGTCAGTGGGTAATACAGCCCCTACCCGTTTTTAGAAATAATTAGTGGTTTTCAAATGCGTAAGTGGGAATGGAAACCTAGATCGGTAGCTGAGGCTCAAGTGGTCCTACCACACAACCCCAACCCCATTCCCATGTCTGCTGCAATTTACCTACAGTAAAGTTGCTAAGAATCCCCCATTACTAATTTAAAAGAAAATACAAAGGGTATACAAAATTTCCAATAATAGATAACAAAATTTCCAATAATTCATTAAAACTTCAAAAGAAATACAAATTTACTACAGCTCTCTAAGAATAGCGAACAAGAGCCACATTAATAACGTGTCTATGCTTATACAATAAATATCGAAAGAAGTACAATGTTTGCTGCAATTTACCTACTGTAACGTTGCTAAGAATCCCCCAATACTAATTTAAAAGAAATACAAGTTTCCAAGAATACATAACAATATGCCAATAATTCCTCCATTGAAAACACAAATTTTACTGCAACTTTCTAAGAGAACCGAATAGGAGCTCCATTATTAAAAACCACACACTTTTTTCCCACATTCAAATAAAGAAAAGGACAAAGAAGAATGATAACAATAATAAAAGAAAAAACCAATTCTAGGGTTTTCAAGCACTTCATACGCAAACAAGCATAGAAGCTGAAACGTAAATACAAAGTTCTATTTTTCAAGGATTACCACCTCTGATAGGCGCCGGCCATGATCTCCCTTCAATACGCTTGATACCATGAACGAGTAGCGAGGCCCATGGCTGGTGCATGGTAATGCAAGGGTTCCTATAATTCTCCCTTATTCTTGTGCCCATCTCGCACCCTCAAACTCTCAGAAATCAGGGACTCTCAGAAATCAGGAATATGGGGGATAACAGAGACTACCTCGAACCCTAAAAATTGGATGGCTCTTCAGGAATCACAAATATAATAACAGAATATAAGGGAGAACAGAATCTACCTCAAACCCTAAAATTGGATGGTTCTTCAGGAATCACAAATATATTAAGAGAATCTTGATGCTGACCACGGCTAGTATATTTTAAACGCGGGTAGAACTCTAATGACAGACGATAGAACCATAGAAAGAAAAGATAAAGCTTTAGATGTAGTTAGATAATCCTAAAATGTTATTAGAATTATCTCAAAATCTATTTTTATATCTAATTACAAAATTTTTAATTTCAAAAATGGTTAAAATCAAATAGTTCTATAAACATACGAAAGTCTTGAAAATAGATGGTGTAGATAAAATGTTGTAAAATACATTATTTTTTAGACTTAAAATCTTTTTATTTTTCATGGTCATACATGTCGATGTCGAGATGATTGGGTTTTTCAACATTAAAACTATTTTTTTTTCGATGGATTTTTTAGGAGCATCTATAGTTCTACGTTATAAGGTAGCATCCTTACGTTAAAACTACCTTTTTTGATGGATTTTTTAGGGGCATCGTTAGTTCTACATTATATGGTAGCATCCTTATATAAACTTTATCTTTATATGTAATAAATATTTCAAAGCACATGAGACCCTCCTCTTAGCCGTTGATTAGATAACAAACCATTGAGCTATTGAGCGTGATATCTTGATCCGACACATTAGAGTATTTTATTTATTTTTTATTCTGTGTATCATTTTATAGTAAGAATTTGGCATATGCGTATAAGTGACATGATAAAAATAATAGAAAATATTTTTGCTGATGAAAAATTATTAAAATATCTCTAAAACTTCAAGGGCGGGGGGGGGGGGGAGGTGTTTGTTATTTAATTTTACAAAAACTTTTTTTGTTATTTTTGCTAGTGCACCCCAAGCGCTCCAAATTTTAATGAAACGGGTTTTGTAAAAAAAAATTAAAAATTAAATAACTTTTTATTGCGATATTATGATAAGAACATTCTTAGCCATCCATTCAGATCGAAGGGATGAGAAGTGGGATTACATATAATTTAAGGAAAATTACAACTAACGCACAACTAGACTCCAACCAAATTTTTTTCTCGGTTTTTCCCCAAAATATATTTTTCTAGCGATACCCTCCAAGTAATAAAATGTATATTTATTTGACAAAACTACCCTTATTCATATCTAAAAATTTAATTTTGGCCTGACATTTACATGGGCTTACATGAGCTGTTGGACCGCTATTTGACCTTGTTGGACCTTGTTGAACTAAAAAGAGTGTCGGACCACTCCTTGACATTGCCAGACAGCCTTTGGGCCTATTGCCGAACTACATGAGCTTGTTGCCGGACTGCATGGGCCTAGGATCGGACTGCTATTTGGCAGTGCCGAACTGCATGGGCCTATCATCAGACCCTTCTTTGTCAATGTTGGACCACCACTTGTACTGTCAGACCGCCACAGTTATTTACTAGACCGACATTACACTGCTGGACCACCTTAAGAATATGTCGGACCGCCTGTTCGTACGAAAGAGGAGAGAGAGGCGTGGGTAAAAGTAATGAAGTGTAGTTTAGATTTTTTATATTTTTTATTTGAATTGGGGGGCATTTGCTAATATAGTATATTTTAGAGCAAAAAGTGAGAAAAAAAATTTTGTTGGAGGTAATTTGCATAAAAAGTTTTAGTCTTAAGTGTTATTTTGTAATTTTCTCCGTAATTTATATGCGAGTGTGGTGCAGAAAGCTTTAGTAAAATATCACGGATAAGGTTTATATGAAGTTTGTAATCAGACTAAGATTTGTATAAGGGTAAGAAAAAATAGTAAATAATAGTAAACTAAAATATTTTTTATTTTTTCAAACAAAAACTACAAAGAATGTGAAATACATAATAAAAAATGAGGAATGGTTTAATATTTTTAAATCACATTCGAGTTTGAGACCATTCATTCCGGTGAGAAAAAATTTACGGCCAGATTATCAACGCGCTAAGCTTGTGCTTGCCCGTTCTCTTTCTATTTCACAGCAACCAAGTCTCTTCTTTGTGTACTCCTCACAATCCAGGCCGATCCGAAGTCACCAGGGCATCAAGTATCGGGGCTGGGGTTTGAGGAGGGGTTTGTCAGTTGACATCAAGCAATAAATAAATAAATAAAAACATATATTCTTTACAAGTTCATATCTCTCTGTATGGTCCCTTTATAGAAAACTTTAAAGTCAAACGATGCTTAGAGGTAAAAGATGGCCATGTGGATTACCGTATTTAAGTGTCAAAGTGCATGTTACGGACACTAACTCGGGTTTATGAATGTGGATGTTTTTATTCTAGCCATAGTGCCGTGTGTACTGTAAATTAAGAAGTTTGATGCGTCATTAATTTAGGAAATATATATAATGAGATATTTATTTTTGGTATAAAGAGGTCACAAACATCATTGACCATTAGATTTGAAATCTTGTGATTGAGGATGTGTCATATTTGGACACAAAGTCCAAATAAATTTTTTCAAATGTTGTGACACACTTATATGGGATTTCATATCCAATGGCTAAAAGTATTGTAACCTCTTTATACGAAAAATAAATGGTATCATAGTATACAATCTCATTAATTTACATTTCGTTTTTTCGCTACCAATTCTCCATAGTCGAATTGATACCATTTTAACCATTAGTTCCTTGCCAAGTATATCTTCAAATGATATCTTTCCCCTCCCCTTATCATTTTTTTCATCTTTTACCATATTTTTGTTTTTTTTGGTAGCATGTTGATCCATTTTATATTATTTTTAGTGGTGTTTGGTTCTAGGGAAGCAGGGTATTGCTCGATTCCTTGTGGTTCTTATTTCCTTTTCTTTTTTTCTAAGGAAAAAATATTTATGGAATTACTGTATGGTCCTTTTTTTGTGAATTTCACAATGATGTCCTATTTTCGTATGGTTTCTTACTCTGGTTTTGCCCGCGCTCAATTCTAGCAAAATAAAATGAACCGACTATAATTTTCATTTTTTGGGTTTTATTTCTCTTGGGTAGTATAGAACCACTAAAATCAAACCATAACATATATGGGGCTGTTTGACATGAGGGGCTGTTTGACATGAGCAACTTTGAATTGCCCTAAATTTGACCCCCAAGTAATATTGGTTCCATATTTGTCATATCGAACACCTCTATAAAATCTTTAAAGCATGAAATGGTTCATAATAGAACAACTCCATGCTTCAAAAAAATTCTAAGTATCAAGTGGTTTGACATTGCTAATGCTGAATAGCTCTATTCTTGGGCCAAATTTATGTGGGGTGGTTCGAATGCTATTGGTGGTTTCCTATGGCCTTAGAGAGAGCAAAATTTCAACAAATAGAAAAACAAGATAAGTTCGATGTTATTAACATTAAAAAAGGGGCAACTAGAATAAAAATAACCACGATAAAATAGGACCCAACATAAAATTAGTAAAAAATGGACTAAACAGTAGTACCACACATATTTTATGATCCATATATAAATTTTCGTTTCTTTTAAATCTTCCCATTGTGTCCGTACACCGTGATTTGAACCAATAATTGCCAATCAGGGTTGGATTCCACTTTTTTAAAACATAGGTTTGTTTCATGCTGCCTATATCCCTCGTGTAGCACCCATTTCAAACATGCTCACTTCCTTGTTACAGTGTTTTTTTTTTTCTAATAAAGTTATTTTATCTTAATCATTAGGGGTTGGTTACATAGATTTTCTTCTCGCTCTATCAAACATTTGGATCATAATTCATGAGAAGGATATAACAAAAGATTTTTTATTGACTGTCAATCTAACATAACCCTCTTCCTTTCTCATCCACACTTGAGACCATCAATGGTAGAGTTGTTGCATTGATTATATATATAATAGAAGTACGGAAGGTGCTTGTTTGGGCAGTTGTGACATATTGAAGCAAAAATCTTGGATCTCGAGTTCTATAGAAATTTTCGGTTCTCATCGAGGTTTTTGGTTAGGTAGTGATAAATTCGTTTTGATAATGCAACAACAAACTTATGGAGTAAATGTAAAACTAGATCTTGTGCATTAGGGGTGGCAATGGACTTGAACCCGGACGGCCTGATATCCAACTCAGTACCCAACGACGCCCCGACCTGGGCCCGGGTATGGGTCCAATAGTTGGACTCGTTGGGTCGGGTCCGAGACCAAGATTTGGACTCGAACACTATTTGGGTTCAGGTCCATGTAAACCCAACCTAGATCCAACCCAAACAATGTTAATATTTAATCAGTATTTAGTATATATTATTTTAATAAGAGAGAATCTGATGTTAGTCCATTAGCTAACATCTACAATATAAGCCTAATGATCCAGATTAAATCTTGGTTGATCTAATGGTCACAATTGTATTTCATATTTGAATTTTTAATTTTTTTCTACAAATCTAAATCACTTGAATTTTTTAGCGTCAATTATTTAAAAATAAAACAATCTAATAAAAGATATAAAAACAATTTGTAAATAATAAATTAACCAAAATACCCCTTAAACTTTCAAGGGTATTTTGGTTAATTTAGTTTTTACGAATTATTTTTTTAAGATAAACTCTCCTACCATTATGAAGGATTTCATACCTATTAGACTATGCATTGTCCTCTATAAAATAATCAGTAAGACCATTTCTAATCGATTGAAGGGAGTTTTGAGCGATATTATTGACCTATCATGACAAATGAATTAGTCTCTCTCTCTATCTTTTGGGTGAGTTAATGGGGAGAGGGCTCCTATCCTGAAAGAAATTGAGCCTAGAACGTAGCATTGCAAGTAGTCAAGCTCCAACCAATTAAGCCCGGACTCTTTTCCTAATTTCTCCCTCTTTGCTATAAGAATTTTGCTAGACCCAAGATGTGCATTAATTAGATTTGAGTAGTGCTTACGACTGGGTTTCTTGAGAGTTTGTACTTGCTAGAATGAGGACCTTGGGCTTCCCTAACCTTTTCATCTCTTAGATTCGCCACTACATCACCACTTCCTCTCTCTCAGTCCTTTACAATGGCTCTCCTAAGGGTTTTTTCAAAGGGAAGAGGGGCGTACGACAAGGAGACCCATTGTCTCCATATCTTTTTCTTTTGGTTATGGACATCTTGAGCAGGCAGATGGACATGCTATAACTTTCAGCCTTCCTGTTGACCATTGGATGTGAAATTTTTGGCGACTACATTTATTCTATTGACTAAACTCAAAGTTCAAAAGAACGTTTTTTGAACTTTGTGATAAACCTAAGCTGTCAAATTTTATACCATATTGCTATAGATAATTTTGGCATCCTTGTACTAAAGGTAAATGGTTTTAGAGCATACAATTCTTTAGATATTTAGGTTCACTTTGGCATAAGTCAAATATTGTGTTTATCTACTCCCTTGAGGAAAATTTATGTTTGGAGTATTTTTTTTAGATTCTAAATTTTTCTACTCTCTACGTTTATCTACTCTCTACGCATAAGTCAAATGTTGTGTTTATCCATTCTCTATGTTTCATTAAAAAAAAAAAAAGACATTCGAGGATTACACTACAACCGTCCCATTTTTAAAGGGGAAGATTTAGATGTCGAAGAACTCAAAATCTAATTTTTGTTTGTTTTAAATATAATCATCTAGTGTGTGTTTGATAAGTGTCTGCTTTTGGGAATAGGAGTTAAATGTCACACTTCCATGTTTGATATTATTGTGTAGAAGCTGTAAAGTGAAAGGACGGTCTTCCACGATGCTATGTTGTAGTGTTAAAATGAGTTCATTTTTGAAAGACATAACTTCCATCAAAAGTGATGGAAGAGTTGTCATTCATAATTTGTAGTGGAGTTTGTTCCACTCCCAAAAACTCCAAGTCTCAAACGCACCCCTAGTGATACTTAGATGATCCCAAAATTTTGAATGAAAAAAAACTCTCCCAATTAACCTTTGAAAGTCGTTGTACAACATGCTCGGGTGGGAGCATGATTTATACATTCTTTTGTAATATGAGCCAGGAGCAATAAAAACTAGTGAACAATGTTTTAAAAATCGGCAAGTCGAACCGGACTGGGGAACCGGCACAGCCCGTGCCGTTTCTGATACAAAATCGGGATCCGCCCGATTCTAGAAAAGAACAGACGATTCCAATCCGGTTCTGTCCGGTTCGACTCAGTTTCGTCGCTGCAAGCGTGCGACACGCACGTGCACGCTTGCGACACACACATAAGGTTACCCTTATATTTCTACACAAACATTTTAATCTATATTACATAGGTATTTATATACCAAAGTGGAATACCCATCTTTTGATGTGGGATAATTCCCAAACCTCATTAAATGAAAAAAGAATTTAAATATATTCTATTAATCATCAAGTTATAACCACGTATGGTGAGGTGGCGTAGTGGTTAAGACCTTTGTTTCTTCATGTGATATATCAAAGTCGAGTCCCTTTGTGGGCATTATTTTTTTTTGTTGTATAGTTTTTATTGTATATATTGTATAAATATTTTTGTAAATAATATAAAAAGCATAAAAAAATGAAAAATAAAAAAGTTAATTTTTTGTATAGCAGTCAATTTTTGTTGTATATAGTGGTATAATTATTTTTTTAAACAATATGAAAGGCATAAAAAAATTAAACATAAAAAATTTATTCTATTTGAAATCTCCATCTTTCTACTAACAATTGCTTTCACTAAATTTATTATAGAAACCTAAAAAAAAAAAATTTTGAAAAATTGAAGTGTTATTTCCAAAATTTGTACGTATTTTATTAATTTTTACATTGATAACCAAATATTTTATTTTATTTATTAATTTTTACATTATAAATCATGTAATGTACTATTTTTCTTATAGTTGTCAATAATACATTTTAAATTAGATAATATTATAAAATATTTTTAATTTGTTATTATTTGTCTAATAAAATAATTATAAAATATAAACTAATAATTATAATTTCAATATATAATATTATAAT